GTTGCGGACTTCCACCGAAACGCACCTAGAGATTGGCACAAATAAGTGCGGGGTCAGAATTCACGCTCATGCTCCAAACCGAGCGACAGTTTTGAACGCATTCTCTCCAGCGGTATCTGATTGCAATGTGATCGATTTGCGTCCATGGCTGGTGGGTGCCATGTCACCCTCCGGTGGGTGCTGTGCCTGAAGTTAGTGCTCGCAAGAAGGAGACGAGCATCTTCACACAGATGTAGCAGCCGTTCACGGTTATCATTACGGTAGCCTACAACGCTTCGACCGCCCGAATGAAGCTCATCAGTGAACAGTTTTCTGACTTGGGCATTCAACTCACCAGTAAGTACCACAGTATCCATATTTTTCTGTGACGGAGGAGCGCGTTTAGTTGGTGATGGAAGTCGTCTTTCACTTAGTCAGTGCTACAATTTCTGGGCGCATAGACCACAATGACAAATAGACACCGTTGGTTCCCACGCAACTTCGATGGGTTGAACGAGTCAGCCAATCTGACAGCGCACATCCGGATGTTCATTGGGATTCATTCGATCAACGCAGACTGAGTTCGTGGGCTAAGAGCAATGTTCACACCTCCTTGACCGGCATTTAAAGCCGCTTCATCTCCGGACACACAGAAGGAAATAATACCGCCAGTATCGCACGGTGGGGATCGCAGTAATCACAGAACATAACTCTTGCAGGCGAGTTTCTGACAATCAGCACACATCGACTGCTGGCAGCTTCAGTGTCCAGGCAAGTGCTGTCTGTTAGCCAGTTTGCAACAAAGTGCGCACATTGAAGCATGCCAGTTTTTAGGAGGACCGAGAACTCCAAATAGGAGTAGATGAACTGACGTCCGTTTGGCTGGACATGAACTTACCGGCTGGACCGGAGCGACACCCTGCGACATCGTGTGAGTCGAAATTAGAAGACGAACGATTACTGAACAAAAATGGGAAGGGTCAAGAATTGGGGGACTGAAAACAGGAGGTATACAAGTAAAGTTGGAACGGGACGATAACGATGAAAAAGCGCATGACGGAGAATAAGAGGACGGGAAGACTTGAGCACTAGCATCCGAACCTCTATCCACCCTGCTCGAGGCAGCAGCTAGGGCACCGTCTATTATCATCTGCGGTGGCCAGATCATCAAGAGCTTATTTGAGGAAGTCATAACCTTGTATTGCGCGGGCACGATACTGTCAGGTTGCCCAGGCCTAGATAAGAGAACGATTAGGGTTCTCAACCAAAGCCTTTGGTTCAAAAACCTGACCGCAAAGCAGCGGGTTTGGCAGTGGGCTACAAGGAGTCCGTTTTAAGGATTAAGGAATCATCCTTAATCCAACCCCCAACCTGAATGGCTAAGAGACTGCGTTTGTCAGGCCTCTAGCCATTAGCCAATCTGGTGCAAATGCACCACCCAGCGTAGCCCAATGGATTGCTGAGGCACACAAACCATCACACCGCGTTAATGTCGTCTCGTCACGATGGGAGAGAATTATCCACAAGGTTATAAGAGCATAAACGAGCCGGCCGAAACCATTGCTCATCATCATTGGTCTCGACACGTGTTGCTGAGGTAGGGCACATATTTGACTGCAAGAAAACGAAGGTCCTAACGCAGAGTGAGACAAGAGAAGGAATGGAGTCCCTCAAAGCGTTTTTTTTCTCAAGAGAATTCAATAAACCTGCGCATTGACTTATATCCAGTTTACCATCAACTGCGAACAAGAGAATTTAGGCATGTCATTCACGATATGAGACTGAAAGTGGCGGCAACTTGCAGTAGTCACGGGACGTGACTCGGAGTGGTCAATTTCAAACGTCGCTCGCTCATCGGTCATTCATTTTGCCTACCACGCACTGACGAAGTCACCTCGATTGGTGATCAATCGTCTACAACGAAATTGTTCAGCTCGGAGAACAGACCAATACCTCAACAGTAAAGTGTTTAACGTTGGGGAACGACTGGTACTGTTGTAATTATCGGAAATATGCCCGGTGTGCACCGGTATTTGGCAACTTGTCAACCTGGATCACCCGCGAGTACCAACGATCTATTCAACGGAATCAAGATCACCGCTTCATCCTTCTTGCATCACTGTTTCCCTCGCTACAGCATTTCTGGCAAAGGCTTTGTCTTTCTCACACACAATACTACTTCAGTTTTGTGTGCACATTTAACATCGCTCAAGAGTGTTCCGCGCACCTCCTATCCAGCCAACATTCTACAACAATCCTACATCCAGTACTGTAGCTACAGCTCATTGCTGCAGCCACCAGCTTCACGTAAACTGCAGTTGTGGATTTCATCTTCGCTTACGCTCAGCGACCGTGTGCGCCCACATCTTGAGCCCACAAGCTAGCTCGCATTTACGGGATCGATAAATGTACACCACCCACGGACGGCCCACGCCTGACCTACAAGGACAGGACAAAAGTGGACGGCAATCAAGAAAGTCCTGACAGTGGAAACTCAAAACGCAGTCTGTACATTCATATTCTCTACATGTTTGCGGTTTGAATTAGGCACTGTAGGGTGGTACTGTAACATTTTTCCCATCGTCGTCCTATTACCATAACCGTCACCTATAATGCCGAGTAGACGCGCATGCTCGTGTACGGTCTCTCAAAAAACATCAGTTGCCCTCAAATCCCCTAAGTTGCCAAAATCCACTAAACCATCTGGACTGCGAACTTACTTGGGAAAGCCAGTTGATACAGCGAATGATGCACTCTCTAAGCTCAAATGTATCCAAGAGGAGTTGGAAAGACTTAAAATAAAACTGGCATCTTATGATCACCTGGCGACAACACTCAAAAGTCTGGAACCTCTGACTGCAGACTGCAGACAACGGCAAGCCCAAATCGAGATTATTTAAAAGCCGCTAGTAATTTCCTTGATGCTGTTGCAGCAAAAATGTTTAGTGTAACAAGATGTGCTAAAAATGCAGTGACTTCAATTTGCCCGATATAATGCCGGTAGAAACACTGCAGAAACCTTGCTTAAAGCAGGTAATATGGTAGACACTCAGTGCAAATGTACAACTCTCCGTAAGAGCGTCCAACCTAAAGACTGTCCCGTACTCTTTCAATTTAACAATGTGTTGACGGCAAAAGAGTTCATCAAAAAAGCGCACAGATAGCGGAAAACACTACCATTAAAACACTAAGGATATCGATTGACAAAACACCCCTGCAAAGCGAAGTCCGGCGCAATCAGCCACTGCCGACACCGAATGACTCGCAAGCCGATAGTTTCGACATAGCGTCACGGGGAGTCCAGCCAAAGGAGACGAAGCAGCTTTTCTCAACATCAATTTGGCAAATAGTCCGACTAAATCATTGGCTGAAACTTTTGTTCGTTCGTGCAAAGGTGTCCGGAGATTGTTCCTTTCTGTTCACTGCTACCTTCGTAGCATTGCTGGTGTACGATGGCAACAACAGTGATGCTGACGTTTGTCGACTAATTTCGAACCAAATCGATTGACGATAACTGGGCTGTATCTTTTAATAGTAAAGGTTTCTATGACTTTGGCATATGCTTTTCACGTCTTCTCAGCGGCTACCTCACTGTGACGTTTCTTGCGCTTGCTAAAATTGACTGAAAGCAAAAGCAAGATGGTCTATGCATGATATGCTCAAATTATGAAGGCGCTAACTTCGAAATTTGCTGTGATCCGGTTATCACTACTTAATTAGACACGCAATGATCACGAACACACTTAAGATGGGACACTCTCGAGCGTGACAAAAGTGCGCACTCACTGCTCTATACGTCGTTAGAGTCTACTCACTGGACTCCAGTTTTACGGTCTTTTTTACTTCCACGTAATTGTTTCCATCCATAGATTGCGGCACTCTGCCAACTACTGCACGCAAACATGATTTATTTCTTTGTTTATTTATGTATGCCTCGCGCTCATACGTCATGCTTCTTCACTGCAGTTGGGCTACACAGACTTGCACTTAAATTAAATCATCTTAAACTAGATAAAAAGTACTCCACTTTATTTAATTTGCTCAAATCTGTTATCTTGCTGCATATTCCACGTGTACTTTGGGTGTAGATTTTCCTACAAATTCCTCTGTGTGACCGTGCTTGATGTGAATGTTGACAAGGTGCTTATCTGGCTAACACTCTCCACCTGGATTGCTGGCTCTAGGATACAGTTAGTCGTTTGCTTCGGGGGGGGGGGGTTGTGTGCATGGTCCTCGTGGTCGTGCTACTCTCACATAGTGGTTCCACCCAATTGGTTCGGACTACGGCCCGGCCACCGCCTTGGGTGCTTCTGGTACGCATGATTCCCAAATTAGACAGGAATATTACTGCTGTGCATGTTGAAGCAGTGTGAGCCGGCTCCTTTGATTAAGCGTGGTTCCCATCCACATACCTCCCGGTCGTATTCTTTCCGGTTTTTACACTGGGTATGGGGTATTTGGATGGAGATGTGCGTAGTGCAGCGCAACTCACTCATGGTGTCTCTGTAGGCGCATGCATCCTGTGGCTGTCCCTGTGGAGGCCGCAATGACAGGCAAATCCGGAACCGGATGCCACCAGCTATTTATATATATAATCACTCAGCTCATTAACAAGATTTCCGGAATTTGCAATCGGTAGCACCTCACTATTTGTTGAAACAATTTGTAAGCGCTATTTTTTGTACTTACCTCGGCTGCGTAGGGGATGACCTCCCTTACTAAGAATGCCTATTTGTGTTGCGTACGCACATCTCGTGTTCTTTAGCTTGGTCCTGCACGGCTGTTTCGAGCTGCGACCTCAATACGATTACAAATCCTAGAAATTGGATTCTGTCTATCTAACCTGAACTCATACCGAACACGTTTTTTCCGAGTAACTTCTTTTCTGTCTGTCTGTTCGTTATACCCAAGTCACATAAACAACTCCCTGGTTATCTTGATTTCACAAATCCATCACTTCTATTTCAGCAGACGAACATGGTATTTCGCATAGTTTGCAACGGTGACCGTCATCGGACGCAATGAAGATATCCAAATCGGATCGTGCGATTGAGGAGAAATTCGATTTGTTTTGCGCTGCCAACTCCTTCGCATCCATTTTGACCAGCTTCAATCGATTGTGCGCGCTTACAGTCACTGCGCCAACCACCGGTCATCCTTGGAATATTTACAGGGAACTCAGCGCCCATGTGAAACCATATTGGAAGGGAGCGGAGTTGTTCAAAAAGTTGGACAAACGAGTTCATTCTCCGGACTACATGCATCAAACTGTGTGTAGCGGCGTAAATGTGAGTCCCAGTGTTACTATTTTTACGTTTTATTTCGCGTTTCTGGATAATTTCCCCCTGACTGTTGTTGACTTTAGCTGTCTCTATGCATCCCCGTTCTCGTCCATACAAGTGGAAGCCACATTTTTGTTTAATTATTCTTCCTTTGTTGCATGTACGACTGGTCAACTGACGCTCATCGAATGCTCTGGCGATGTCGCACCATATTAGCCCACATGCAACGGCTGATAATTGCGTGACAGCGTAGCCTCTGTACTAGATACCGATATACTGCTGGTATTTTTTACTTGTAAGTAAAGTCTTAGACGATGATTTATAGAATGGTATCTTGTTTTCCTCTGGGTTTGCTACCGAGTAAGTAAAAGGATTGAAAAATCAGGGTTGCGTCGCAGTTGTCTTGGTGCAAGTGTGTTTTTATTATTATAGAGCTTCGACTTCTCAACGGTTTGGTGCACATATCTCTGAAGTTTCAACTGTCCTAATGGATACAGCAAGAATGGTCTCATTGTGATGTCATTTTCAGTGAGACCGAAACTCAGAAAATTGGTCTGCTTAGTTATCTGAGAATCGACCAGGAGCATTGGTGCGTTCCAAGGGCTTGTGAGATGTAGAGCATCTGGGCTGTTGGGAATACGTGGGTGCCATTCCAGCTTACTCGACACACACTGGTCAAAGGAATGCTCCCGTAAATGGAACGAAAACAGAACAGAATGAATAACTTTGATGTAGAAGCAAATGTAATGGAAGGGGTCGCCTTACGAGCAGCTCAGGCAACATTTTATGTCGCCGAGGCAGACGGAACATGTTCACGATGCATCATGAGTTGAAGAGGCCATCTTCAACAGTCACTGTCCAAACAACGGTGATCTATAAAAACGCATGCGCGTGGCTGCTCGTTTCACATCTACTTACGCATCGCTCCGTTCCGCTGCAACTTTAACATCATCTCCACTGGTGACGAAACGTTTGCAGCCATATTGCCAGTAATGAGCGGCTGACTCACGCTCAGCCACATTGATTAGCGCATTAAAAAATACGACATTCCTTATTTCACTAATCTCCAAACTCCTCAACTGCGTCTTGTCGCCGCAACTTGCTGGTCCCCGTGAGAATCAAATAAGTGAAAGTCAGACTGGCATTCGCCCCGGAAGATGGTACATAGACCACATGTTTCCTAAATAACTCAATAAACGGTGTATTCCTCGACAGTGTGACGCACAGCGCAATTGACTGGTCGAATCAATATGTACGGTGAGCCCACATACAGTGGATCTTAAACGGATTTTTGAACTGATTGGCGCTGATTGGAACTGATTGAAAGAAATTAAGAAACTGGGAACGATGACAAACGCGGATTTAGTCAAATGTTCAAGTAAAGTAATACGGCCATTCACAGAACCGCCTCCAGAGGACCTACTTCTATGCAGGCATTCTATCGAAAGGTTTCACCCGCACTTCCATTCTCCAACTGGCCGTGTACCGGTGTGGCAAAATGGTAAATAAGCCATCATCTGGGTTCAACTGTGATCGTAAACGACCAAGTCAGCGGATTACGTTTGACCCAGCAGCGCACTGAGGAAGTCTCCTCGTGTGGTGATAAAACGTTTGCATACCAATTGCGAAGCTCGACGAACAGTTGAACCCAGGAACGATCAACCCGGGCTACCATTGCATCAAGTCATTTTAAGCCATCATCTATTTAACCAATCTCTAGTATTGTTTTTTTTGCATACATTTTGTGCTATCAAGCCATCCAATGAGCTCCATCATTCCACTTTTTTGATTATGGCACTTTTTCTGCATCAGTGAGCCAGTAGCAATACGGTTTGCATGGGTATACTTATTAGCTTAGAAGTTTCAATTCGTCACCTCAGGAGATCAGCTCAGTCGTGATCTTCGCTAGGTATTTAAGCATCACACAACTTACAATCTACCATGGAAGCTCTCCTTGTTTTGAAAGCTACATTCACTTCAGTTTATTGTGCCTAATTACAATGATGTCTCGCTCTGAAGGGCGCGCACTAGGAGTTTCTCTTTACCTTAGACTCTGTACCACAACTGGGGCAGTGTTGGGGCCATGGCTGTCTTCCTCTCTTGTTCCCCCCGACAAGTGGGGTACATCGTAGTTGCTCTGTCCCTCTGTTTTTCTTCAACTTTGGGCCTCTTTGCACTTCCGGGGTAGAGATTTTGTTCGGTAACCGACTTTTGAACGCGGATGATGATATCACTCTTTGGGTCGGACACAGCTGCTATGGGCTGACGCGTACCGCTGCATACTTAGACATATGCTGTGCACTTTCAGTGCCTAGTACCGCTACGGAATTTTACCGACTAGCCGCAACATTTTGCCACCACCGAACAACCGCCCAACATCGGCAACCTGTTTACTCGTCAACTGTGTCAACTTTTGTAGTCTTATCACCAGCAAGGTAATTGTTGTACTGCGTCTCACTTATGGGAACGGTGAGATTTAAGCCCAACTGTATGGATCATTGGCCTGGCCGATTCATACTTGGGATATTAGGTTACTAACCTTGTTTGTCCAACCACACTTGCGACGTATTGCACGCATCTGCTGAGTTCTTTTAAAGTTTGTAACAAAATATTCCCTCTATAATTCCAAACAAGAAAATCAGAAGAGATGCTTGTGAGATAACATCGTCATTCTTATGCATTCTTATCAATCACAAACATGCGACGTTGATAGATAATCAAAAACAGTGTCAGATGTGATCATATATGGCCAAGCGCTTGCGCTACCAGGTTAGGCTTAGAGTCATAGTCAGCTGTTTTTGAGCCCACATTGGCGCTCGTTCTTGATCGATAACGATGGCCTCCAGTAGCCTAAGAATATGGGACCCTTGATCGCGCATTGGACTGTGAACACTCATCATGATTGACTCAGTGGCCGGTGGCTAGCAAGTGCCTTGTGACTGTCAAGACCGCTCTTTTTCCGGACTCAACCGACTGTTGTCGCGATCCCACTCGGCTATGGAAGCACTTGAGGATGTTTTCGGCACTTGGTATTTGATAAAGGACTCTGAGTTAGTTCATTGGATTGTTTCTTGAACGCGAATATCCCCAGTGGCTTGGTCATGCGCTCCGCACGCCAACGAGCCGACTGCCTCGACGTGCGCTGTTTGCCAATATTATGCCCAGTTCGACGGAACCCCGAGGTGGCCAGTCAGTTACATGGCGCGGTAGGATGGTTTTCGACCTTCTTGATGGGGGGGGCACCCGGAGGTGGACTGCATCAGTGATTGTATACTCCTCGGAACATACCTGCTCGCTTAGTGGTGCTCTTGCATTCGTTCCCACGCTTTAGGCTTTTGAAAGGAAGAATGCATCCGCAGTACCCCAATGCGCCGTACCGACACGTCGCTGCCACGCGATCACCACCGGCCACACGTGTGTGCTAGCAGTTTTGCGAGGTTGCCCGCTTCCAACTTTAGATTAGAAGGCAGACGCTTAATTTTTTCGGCCACCGATCGAATCAGACCCATAACTACTGTATCTGGTGTTTTTACTTCTTCCTCATTCCTGTTGCTCAGTAATAGTAATTGTACTAGTAATTTGTCGACGTCAGTCCAATTAACTTGATCCACCGCTCCTCGGTGTATGAATCTTAATTGATCAATTGAAATGACCACAAACTGATAGCACTTTCTTTCTGCAGTTGCACCGACGCCATCCTGCCGACTCTAGTGATGCGCCCTCTTGACATCTTATTCACGCATGTGCCCGATCCACCTACGATGGAGCAACACGGATTTTTATCTGCTCGCTCTCTTTTCTCAGTATTCAGTATTCACGGGAACAGCATAATCTCTGTTACTTACGGACCAAATGTCTACTTCTTCATCTCCGTGTGCCCCCATCACTTTAGGGTCACCTTCACAAGCCTACGTGTTATTTCGGTAAAACATACACATCGTGTGGACTATACCAGCACATCTACAGCCGCGCATTGCTGTTTTTCCTTCTTATCCGCGTACGAGTGGGCGTCCTCGCGGTATACTCAGCCCGCGTGCGACTGGTGATGACCGCACGCCAACGAAGCGCCGTTACGGCGTACAGCTGCTATATTATTATTATTATTATATTATTCAGAATTTCTTGTGAGGTTCTTACCTAAGCATCATTTGGATGGATTTTCTCTGTGCTCGGAGTACATTGTAGTTGCATTCCCACAGTTCAAATATGACCTCAACACCAACTTCCATAACCCCCTAGCTGGGTCCTCTTCTGTGCTGATCACAGTACACTATCATGGTACCAGATGAGTACCAGAAAGTATGAAGAAACCTTGGAACTAAAGACGATTTTACGGAAACCATCTAGATCTATCAGATGAAAGCGCTATAGATTGAAGACAAAGGGCAACCTGCAAGTGTGCTGACTGCGTTACGTCCGACTGATCCTCAAGCTCATAATGCAGCGAATCTTGAGGGCCTCATCCGAGATGACAACGAATACTGACTCGGATACAGTTCTCAGGCAATTTTTGTGCACCCTAGTCATCTATTGCAAGCAATCGGCGTCAGTTTACACTGGAAGTCCATTTTCCACTTTGCAATTGACCGACTATCGGAAATCACCTTTTGGGGACTCTGTAGGGTGCGTTTGTCTGCTGACAGCAGACATTTTAACTTTCTATGTGCTGTAGACACAGTTTCACCAGGTGATTCCCCACGAATTCGTCAGATTGTTACAGCAACAAAGTATAATCTATTTCACTCCGAATGACAGGTTGTTTGGCCGGCACAACGGTGTGGTGCTTTCGTACAAATGCATTTAACGGCGCCACAATGGACGCACACAGCTAGCTTGACTACTGTTAGGACTGTATCAGTGCTCTCAGGTCACGTGACGAACCCAGTAGATCATCCATCATCTGTGGCGCCGATGCAACATAGCGCCTTCGTTGAAATCTACAATGAAATTCTCCTTCGTTCAGCCTTGTACAATCATTGCTTGTGTGTGTCCGTGGCATATCACGATGCCACGTGATCTGAGCTGACACCTAATAGGATTATCCCACTCCCGGGGAAGATGTTTTTTATTTGTTTCATCTGTGAAACGCTTGCTATCTAGGTCACTCGCTTGGAAAGCGATCCGATCGACCTTTCCGAGAAGTGCAATTTGCCCTGCAGGAATTGCCAATAAATCGTGAATTTTACGAAACGAACCCCTACTATGTAAACGCTTTTCGAGCTATCTAACCGCGCATTTAACACAGCACGCTACTTCTATGTCACAACTGACGGAAAAATCTATCAAGTGCTGTAAGTTGTTTGTTTGTTGATCATTAAGCATAAAGTGTCTTGCCTGATTTGTCGACTCACTGCGAACCATGCGTTTGGCTCGACATAGATTTTATCTGTGAAGTTACGCGAACCGCTAATCTGCTATTGTCTTCACAAAATTTTCATCCATCCGACAATCAAGTTCATTTTCGCTCACATGTTGTTTCCGTGATCGTACCACACATCGGCCTAGGGCTTAGGATCCGGAGGGTTCTATTGCAAGCAACTTTCGAGTTTCCCAATCCCCCATATGTCATCGTCTCGTTTCCATAACATTTCAATCGTTGCTTCTACTCGAAAAATTCTTTTTGTTGGTTCCCAATCGCCCTTTACATATTGGATCCCATAACGACGCAATCCCCAGTTCGACTTTTCGTCACACTTGATCTTCGATGCGCTTGCTCAATCTCATTCCTTGCGAACATTCTCTTTGCAGGCCCTCGTTATCGGATGCGGCCCGTGCGGCCTCCGCTGCGCCATCGAACTGGCCCTATTGGGTGCCCGAGTTGTCGTGGTAGAGAAACGCGATGCCTTCTCCAGGTTAGATGTTTTTGCTCTCTTATCCACACAAATCCTCTCACTACAGTTTATACAAGCATTCATGCAAAAAGTACTTGACCTGCATTTGTCCCTGTTTTATTCAAATTTTTAACTTAAGCTGGTTGGCTTAGTGATGACCGTCCCTTTGCGCTTACCAGTCGGATGTTTAGGCTTGCCTTGATGTGTGTGCGTATCTGGTCCTCGTTAAATCAAGCTTCCTCTGTAGTTCAGTGTGGTCCCGCAGTGTGCGTACAACTGCGCGAGTGTCTTCCTGTGTTCCGCGAGTCGTAGTGTAGAGCGTCACCAAATGGTGTATCAGACAACAGGTGGCTCCGATTGGTATAAGCCAATCACATGCCCCCTTATAACTTTCATAATTACTGGCCGTTCGCGCGAGTATAGCACGTCAAGAGCGATCTGCTCCATGGAGGCCACAGTCTTCTCGATATCCACCACCACCATCTTTGAATAAGTACAGCAGTTTCGGACCTATTAAATTACGATACCGTACTTCTGTAGCTGTTTCAACTGGTTGCATGAGTACTTCCGCAGACCGATCTCTCGAATAAGCTTCGGTTGAACCAGAAGAGGACTTGAACCATGCAAACAGAACCGGTGCATCGCATCGTTGCTTATGCTGCCACCACCACGGGTCGCGCGTGGGATTAGATTACCGGCAGATCACCCTCACCTGTGTAGATTCGAACCAGTGGCCTGTGGACTACTCGATTGCTTTGGGTAGCCCAAATGTTGGAGCGCAGATGGCTGATTTGTACCTCCGGTTACTTTCTTGTCTTATGTTCTCAAACGCGCAAGTTTCCTTGTTCTACCACTCGACGGTCGTCAACTGGACAGCGATTGCGATTCGGTCTTATAGTCGTCCGCGCTTATTCCGATCTATATGGCACAACATCATCGTCATCAACACCATCATCAATACACATTAGCTGAGGGTGCGAAACACAGCTACTATGCCGCAATACAAATCAGGTAATATATCGAAAATTGCGGACCAACAAATGTTCAAAAAGCAAGTTATCTAATGTTAAATATTATCTGACGCATTTGATAAGAGATTGTAATTAGGAGGGGGAATTTTCCGCGTAGGTAGATGGACAAAGACACTCGCAACACAAACACCATTGTGGCCGGCTCTTCGCCGTATCAGCAAGTGTATCTAACCAAACGTGTTCGTTGTCATTCAGTCTCCAGCCGGACAGTCGCGATGCATCAACCGATGCTAACTTCGAAATGAGGATTTTCATTTCTCTCGACCAAGTCATCACTTGGCTTCCTGTCTTCCTCTTCCATCCACAGCATTTGTCGGACCAATCCGCCTTCCAGGATTGGGACCACGCGACTCAAACTGCCAGTAGCTAGCAACTTTGGAGGTTAAGGCGCGCAACAGATATCTGTGGCGACAGTGTTGTTCAACCGCGTTGTCTAATAGTTACTGTCTACTCGAACATAAAATCTCCAACACCAAAAAACTCGAAACGGTGTGTGTAAAACCAAAAACTCGCTTCCTTCTCATGCATGCGTGTAACACCACACACGCGACTGTCATGGATAATTGGCAAGTTGCTTCCTAATTTCATCAAATGTCCAACAACCGTTTGTATTACTTAGAGGCAAACCATGATCCACCATGACTTTGATAGTCGTCGAAGCGGTATCCACAACGTCAACTGGACGTGCAGCAATGTCTTAGCTTCCATGTTAATGTCATTCACACATCCGATGGGCAAATTCTCTCATTCATTAAAGCTGTATGAACTTGACGAATTATCAACCGTTATCGATGGTTATCTAAGCGTCAGAAGACATTCGAGCTGCCGTTTTAGCATTTGGCATTTAACGAGCTAGAGTCGGTAGACTGGAAGCTCATTACGAACGCCAATGTCTGCATCAAACGTGAGTAAACTGGAGCGGAGCTTACTTGAACACGGTACGCACTATCTTGTGGGAACGTGCATTTCCACAGCATATACCTTCCGCTCTCATTCTCAACCGGCTTCTAAAACCTACTCGAGCCCTCTAATACACCTACGCAAACCACGAATTTACCTTCCGTGACCCACAGCAGCTAAGTTTCTCTTAACTTTTATGGGTTCGTTACCGTATCGATTTCCCCCATATCTTACCTACCGTTCGCGTACACTGGAGTACTGCGTTCAATCGATCTTCCTTCTGCCCGCAATTGGTCACTTCGCTTTATGGGAATTACGTGTCAAGCATCAATCTTAGCGACGCCCCTCCTTCCTATCGTCTTCATGCGCTTTCGCGAATGAGTGGCTTGGATGACTCGAGTGGCGTTTGAGACATATACCGCGAATGTCAGCATCCTGTGAGGCCGCTTCACCGAGTATCTTCTCTCTTGTAATGCGGTTGTACTGATTTCGATGAATTGATGAGGTGTTTGATTGTGGTACTTTTATTCGTCGATGATTCGTAACCGAATCTTCAACCTGCCGCACATAAGATCTGACGAACCATCCGACCACGGAGCTTTGGAGCCTACAACCCTGTTCCCTGGTCTTTGGTACTTAGCTGTTGCCCTTCCCAACCGCTGATTATCATTTGCTGTTTATATGTGTCCAGCAATAGCGCTGTTTCTGTATTTCTCTCCTTCCTGCTTCTCAGCACGTTTATTTCTTAAGTGCGTCGTTCTTCCGTAACCCACTGATCTTGACCACCGTCGCAACGAGACTGGACCTTAACGTGGTGCGACGGTTTGCGTACCTCATTGACCGATTGAGCTATACTGGGTGATGCCTCCGGGCACCTTGAGAGCTACTCCTACCAGGTTGGTCAATGGTGAGAGGTCAGACAAACTCAGTCTCCTGGTCCTCCAGGTTGGGGGTTTGAAATGGGATGGCGTCCATTTCTGTAAAACTAAATCACTGCCACCCCGCTGCCTTGCGGATAGGCTTTCGAGCCAAAGACTTTGGATGAGGACCCTAATTGTCCTCCTGTCTAGGTCTGGGCGCCCTGGAAATATCTCAGCCCACATACAACCGTGACATTTTCTTCAAACATAAACTTCATCCTGTATCGGCCGTCGCGCAGATTATCAAGGGTCGCCTTATCTGCTGCATACAGCAGGGCGGATAAGCGAAAACATGTTACTGCTGGCGCCTCCCTTCTTTCTTTTCCACCTGTTTTTCTTACTCCCATCCCGACCCCAATTACTAACCTTCCTTCTATAATTCCCAGCTTGATTGACAGCAACAGAAGTGCCACTGAAGTAGAACCATCTGCAGCCACCATCCCACCCCACCTATCAGACGCCTATCGGCAAAAGTCCTTTATAAGGCCGCGCTATGCCGTTCCCATGGCGACATTCAACGTTCGCACTCTAAGACAAGTAGGTCAACAGGCTGCACTCGCACGCACCTTGGACACACTGGGTATTGATGTGTGTTATGTGTCCGAAACTAGGATCAATGATCCTAACGGGATTATTGAATTAACTGCACCCGGCTTATCCTCTCGTTATTGGTTGCACGCATCCGGAGACGCCGATGCAGCACCCAATAGGTCAAGCTGGTGTAGGTGTCATTCTCAGCTCCAAGGCTGAGCAATTGTTGGTTGACTGGATTCCGATGAAAAGCCGTTTATGTGCAGCCCATTTGACGACATCAGCGGTTTATTCACGAAGTAGTAAAAAACGCTGTTTGTTTGTGATTTCCGCTTATGCTCCCACCGACTGCAGTTCAAATACTGTAAAGGACACATTTGATCACGAACCGAACGCCCTACTACGCAGTGCTACTAGTTCAGATGTTTTAGTACTTGCGGGAGATATGAGCGCACAAGTAGGGCGTCTGAGCTCTTCAGAAGCTCAGGTGGGTGGAAATTGCGTGCTTTACTCCGAACGGACTGACAACGGTGAGCGTCTGCTGCAACTGTGTGCGGAGCATCATTTGTTTCTTAGTAGCATTGCTTTTAGACACAGTGGGCGCCGAAGTGCCACTTGGCGTCCACCTGTAGCTGGCCAGCGATAGACCCAAATTGACCACATAGCCATAAGTTACAGATGGCGTGGTTCCATCCTGGATTGCCGCTCATACTGGAGTACCTGTGTCGACTCTGATCATGCCCTGGTACACTGTCGCTTCTCCTTGAACTTTACTGGGAGGCGCACCAAGTGTCCCCTACGACTGGCAACGGAGAAATTGTCTCAGTCCTCGGTCAGGCAAGCCTATCAAGACGCACTGTATACCGAACTCCCGGCTGGTTCTGAACACAATGTGACCAGAGGGGCTATTAGGCGTGGACTGAAGCAGAGTCTACGTGCTGACAAGGAAGCCTGGTGGACCAGTAAGGCTCAAGAAGTGGAGGAGGCAGGAGCAATAGGCAATTACCGCAAGCTCTTCCAGCTAATCCGCACCACTGGTCTCAGGAAACCAGGCGTCAGTGAGACAATCAGAGACAGCGCAAGTGCGCTGATACACAATAAGGAGCGCCGTATGACTCGTTGGGCGGAACACTTACAAGATCAGTTCAGCTGGCCCCTTGCTCCCGGACCTCTTCCTACTCAGGTGATGCAGGACGAGCCATGGACGGTTAGTTTAGAGCCTCCGTCGGAGGCCGAGGTCCGAAACGCGATCACAGCCCTCAATCGTTTTCGTGCTGCCGGCCCGGATTCCCTCCCACCTGCACTATTTAAAAGTGGAGGTGAGGTCCTCTGCAAAGCACTGACCTCCTTAGTCGAATGTATCTGGAAGGAAGAGTGTCCCGGCTAATTGGAGCGAATCGATTATAGTGGCAATATACAAGAAGGGCAGTCGCACAGACTGTTCTAACCACAGGGGTATTAGTCTAACGCCAGTTGTGACAAAAGTACTGGCCTCGATTCTCGTTCGTCGCCTCACTGTGGAACGGGAATCTCGGATTAGGGAAGAACAGGCCTGGTTTCTGCCCAGGTCGTGGCTGTATAGACCATATATTCACTTTGCGGCAGGTGCTAGAGCAGCGCCACGCATACCGCAGACCGA